CGCATGACCAAACACTCACACGACATTCATCCTCTGGTTTATAATGGTGGCTGAGCAGCTCCTGTGTCCACCGGCAGCGGAGGACTGAGCGATGGCGAGATCGGAGGCATCGTTGGTGGTGTTGTTGGCGGGCTCATCTTGCTCACCCTTCTGTTGGGCGTGTTGCTTGTGGTCATCCTCCTCATCATCAGCCCCAAGGCCCCGGCCGCACCCGCCCCCGCGCCCAACACCGTTCTCTAAACTCTAACACAACAGAGAAGTGCAGGGATGGACACAGATGTATGGCACATTGTAACTATATTTATTCAACATGGAGTGAGTGCGATTGGATGTGTTGTCTGGATTCTTGAGGTTGTAGTAGAGCCCATGGGCTAGTGTGCTGTTGGTCACAATGTACTCCACCTCTCTGCGCAGTGAGACCTCAAAAAGACACAGGCAGCAATCATGGTCTTGCCAACACCAGGCGCGCCAATAAAGTTGACACATATGGTCTCCATACTGTGTGCAATGCATTCAAATACACACCACACCACCCAGCAGTTTTACTTCAACACCAGGTGGAAGACATGTGGGACTATGAAATTGAAAATGCCAAAGTCACATTGGTGAAAGTGAAGAACACAGAGAGATACTGGTGAATCCTGGACAACCTGGATGATGCAAAGATCATTGGGTATTGTGTGGACTACAGCTTTGAGGATAAACCACAGAGCTGCTGGGTGGTCATGTGCAAGTTTTGGAAGGCCCTAAAGTACAAAGGGTTCACATGCTACTCATACTACAAACCATGCAGCCTCATCAACCAATACAGGAAGTTGACACAGGAGAAAGTGCACAACAATTTGCCCACTGCTTGCAGTGAAGATCAGCAAGATCATGACCAAGCAGGATCTACTGAATGCACTCCAGGGACAACCAAGGCACCAGTGGGACAGTGAATTGCTCAATGTTCCTTCACCAAGAGATTGTGCGCAAGTAAGAGAGTGCAGCGTCAGATCTGAAATACACCAACCATTTTTTCATTATGTCTCTAACACACATGACCAACTTTTCCAATGAGATTGAACCAGGGCTCCACCTCAGCAAAGATCAGCAGGGAGTCAGCCTTCTGGTGTACTTGGCAATGGCTCCACTGTATC